AATGGTGATTTTTTCATCTGAACTGTAATTCTTCCTTGCTATTCATAACGAACTCTCAGAAGTTAAAACTCATGGCCAGTTTTTCCCAAGTCCGAAATCTCACAAGGTGGCAAATGAGTTGGATAAAAAGGTCCCATGAGTAGGGGAGGCGAGGAGGTGCCTTGGCTGTCCTGGGAGGTGACTGCCCGTACAGTTGGCCCGAGCCAGCCCTCGGGGTGAGTGCTGCCTGCTCAGTAATTGCTTCATTACAAGTGGAGACTGTTTGCAGGTGCTGAGATCACTCACTTGTGGGGTTTTATTGCCCTCGTCAGATTAACAAACATTTCTGATTAAATCACCACTTCATTGGCTCTAAGCACACAACTTTTAATGAGGACAATATCTACTGCTACTGAGCATCAGTGCACATTCAATACTCAGACCTGCTGGGGGCGATGGACGAACAAGGTGAGGAGACAGTCAGATGCCAAGCTTTTCCTAAGGTGCTCGGTTACAGATCTCAAATGTTAGAATATCCAAGCAAAAAGTAACCTTAGAGATCAAGATGGCAAATGTAAATATCTATATTGGTATTGACAGGTAAAAAAAAAATTGGCAAATGTGGCTGGTATAAGGTGGTATTAGAACCTCTCCCTCCACAAATTCAAAACATTTTTAAGACCATGTCAGCCAAACAAAAGACATCTGTCATCTGTATTTGACCACAGTGAGTCTGTGACCCCTGGTGAAGTTACCAATGAGAAAACTGAAGGTTGACTTAACCATGATAAAAAACATCTACAAGAACCACAAAGGCTGCTAATACAGAACATTGCTTATTGATAATAACACCGCCAGGCATCTGTTAGGCACTTTAAATATATTTTCTCATTTAATCCTCAAAACCACACTGTAGATAAGTTGCAATCTGTGTAGACTGTGGGATGTTCAGTAAAACAGTGGATGCCAACCGGTAGTCCGTGAGGTCCGAAAGGTTGGCGACCACTGCACTAAAACACACTAGCTCCTTCCTCCAATGCAATCAAGCTGTAGTTGGGCATGTGGCCTCCTAGCTGATGAATGTATTTCCCAGCCTGCCCTGCAGTTAGGTGAGGCCTCAATTCTTAGCTTGCATGTTGGCCAATGGAAAGTGGGCACTTTAGGCCCAGGACTCTTTACGACAGCAGTGTGCTCCCCCGTTCTCTCTTTCCCAGCCAGTGGGTGTGGCCTGGTTTTGTTCATGAGGTTGCAACAAGGACCTAGGGGAAGACAGAACCACAAGATGGAAGGAATACATCTGAACGACTACTGTCCTAGTATTTTAGACCAGGGGTTGGCAAACTATAGCCTGTGGGCCTGTTTTGTAAATAAAGTTTTATTGGAACATAGCCATACCCATTAATTTACATATTGCCTATGGCTGGTTTTGTGCTAAGACAGCCTATCTGAGTACAGTTGACCGACGTTATTTGTGGTAGTTATATTCTATAAAGCTGCCATCAAAAATGAATGAGCAAATACTGAACCAGGTTAGGTTCCTGTGAACTTCCGGTCACAACATTATTATCAACTGATCAATAAAAAACCTTGTTTTGTGTGTATTTCTTTTTAAAAAGGCCTATTGTCATATATATTCTTGATTCATTAACATTGAACTCACAGCCAACAACACTATAACTCAGACCACAAAATAACACATACACATTATGATCTATAAGGCACATGAAGCCTTCCTGCACTTTGGAAAACTAGACAGGACTACACATGACGGCATTTTAAACAGCAAAATCACCAGCAAGCAGCACAAAATTATTTAAAAAAAATGTGGCACTAGCTGAAGCCGGTTTGGCTCAGTGGTAGAGTGTCGGTCTGCGGACTGAAAGGTCCCAGGCTCGATTCCGATCAAGGGCATGTACATTGGTGCGGGCACATCCCCGGTGGGGGGTGTGCAAGGTCGATGTTTCTCTCTCATTGACATTTCTAGCTCTCTATCTCTCTCCCTTCCTCTCTGTAAAAAATCAATAAAATATATTTTAAAAAATAATATTAAAAAAATGTGGCACTAAATAGACCACAGAAAGGACACTTTTTACTATATAAGAACTGAAATAAGGCCTGGTTGGTGTGGCTTCATGGTTGAACATCGCTCTATGAACCAGGAGGTCATGGTTTGATCCCATCAGGGCACATGCCTGGGTTGTGGGCTTGATGGGATCTCTCTCATCACTGATGTTTTTATCTCTCTCTCTCCCTTCCTCTCTGAAATCAATAAAAATATATTTTTAAAAAAGAAAAAAAAAGAACTAAAATAAGAAGGCAGAACATTACCTTGTTCAAACTTAGTGGGATCTGTAGGCCTCCAAAGACTACAATTTTATTATTATTATTATTATTTTTTTTTTTTTTGTTAATCCTCACCTGAGGATACTTTTTCCACTGTTCTTTAGAGAGAGTGGAAGGGAGGGAGAGAAACATCCATGTGAGAGACACATTGATTGGATGGTTGCCTTCAGAACCTTCACTGACTAGGGCTAGGGGTCGAACCTGCAACCCAGGTATATGCCCTTGACCAGGAATTGAACCCGTGACCCTTTGAATACTGTAACTACTGAACACCACCAGCTAATGTTCAACTGGCTTTGAGTTTGTGACTTACTGCAAAAGCACTCCACATATTGATTTGGGGGTTACACATATATTTTAAGGAGGCAAATTCACAAATACAGACTCCATGAATAATGAGGAACAACTGTAGTTGCAACAGAGACTATAAAATATTTACTACCTGAACCTTAGAATCAATGTCTGCACATCCCTGCTCTAGCAAGTTAGAAAATTTTTTTTTCTTGTTCTCAAAACCACTGACTTTTGGGGTTTCTGTTATAGCAGCTTACCATGTCCTAATACAGACTATAAAGTCTATGTTCTTCCCACTACACAGTGCCTTCTCATTTGACCATCTATTATTCTTTCAGAAGGAGATTGCTATTTCCATCAACCTCTTTTTTTTCCTCTACCAAATAGGCTGATATTTCTCAAGGGGTGATACTAAAACCTCCTGCTTCAGCATGGTGTATGTAGCTTGTTAAAAGCATATGATTTGACCCTGGCCCGAGTGCTCATTTAGAGCATTGTCCCGATATTCTAAGGTTGTAGGTTCCCCCAGACACATACAACAATTAACCAATGATTGTATAAATAAGTGGAACAATAAATCAATGTTTTTCTCTCTCAAATCAATAGAAAACCCCAAATTGTTTGTCAAAAATACCACTCCCCAACCCCCAAAACACACACACACACACACACACACACACACACACACACACACACACACGTTCTACTGAATTACTCCAGGAAGGGGAGAATTCAACCCTCCATTGTAAAAAGCTCTACAAATGATTTTTAAAAATATATATTTTATTGATATTTTACAGAGAGGAAGGGAGAGGGATAGAGAGCCAGAAACCTTGATGAGAAACATCGACCAGCTGCCTCTTGCACACCCCCCACCGGGTTATGTGCCCGCAACCAATGCACATGCCCTTGACCGAAATCGAACCCGGGACCTTTCAGTCTGCAGACCGACGCTCTACCACTGAGCCAAACTGTCTTCAGCTACAAATGATTCTTAATGCAGCCTTAAATTTGAGAAGCGCTGAACTGATAGTAAGCTCAAGAAGATTATTACCCTATCTCTGACTTTTTTAATCCTAACCAGAGAACATGTTTTCTTAATTTATTTATTTATTTAGAGAGAGAGAATCCACTGTGAGACAGGAATTGATTGGTTGCCTCCCAAGGTGCCTGGCCAAGAATGGATCCTCTGGCAGATGACCTAAAGCAGTGGTCGGCAGTGGTTGGCTCTCAAGCCACAAGAAATTTCAATAGTTGTATTGTTGATATTTGGCTCTGTTGACTAATGAGTTTGCCAACCACTGACCTAAGGGGACTGTAACCTCTGGGGGGTGACCTAAGGGGACTGTAGCCTCTGGGGGGTGACCTAAGGGCGCTGTAGCCTCTGGGGGGTGACATAAGGGCGCTGTAGCCTCTGAGGGGTGACCTAAGGGAGCTGTAACATCAGAAACAAGATGCATTAGAAGACGAATCACCTTGATTCTCAGCTCCTCCAATTCTTGAACCTAGGCCCTACTTGAAACCTCAGTTTCCTCATCTGTAAAAGTCGCGCAGGCTGGTCCTGAGGACGAACTTAGAATGCAAATGAAGTTCTAGCATAAAGCTGTCGCTATATCCATACGCATCCATTTCCTTTCCCCTCACATGCAACAAATTATTTTTATGTCTTAAATCCTCATCTGAGGATTTAAAAATTGATTTGAGAGAGAGAGAGAGAGAGAGAGAGCAGGAGAGAGCGAGCCTCCCATCACGCGCCTGACAGACCCACGCCTCTGTGGTAGGAGGACACCCCAGGCCACTGAGGACCCGCCCGGGCGCAGCGAATTCGTTTTAAGCAATTGGGGACCGTCCCCACTCCACCTGCTCCACGAATTCCCGCCGTTTCCCAGAGCCATGTTCCAGTCACAAGCTCCAGCCAAGGAAACCTGTCCCATCTCAGCAGAGTGAAGCCACTGGGAATACACGACACAGTACGGGCTCCCTCACCTTCAGGGGTCCCTCACCTCAGGTCTCTACCCCTGTGTCTCCCACTCACCCCCCACCCCCAAATTCCCCCGACCCCCAACCCTCATCCCCAACTACCACCCCTTCAGGACCTCATCTCCTTGTCCCGCCCTGTTCGGGCCCCTGTTCTTCACACCTCTTCCCTCTGGAGGGCCCCTCCTCCGGCTCCCATCTCCGACCCCCCTTTCGGGCCCCCAACATTCGGTTCCTTCACCCCTCAACTCCACTACCCCCAGGGGCCGTCGCAGGACTCTGCATCTCTCTCAAACTCGCGTCCCCCTCACCCTTAACGCCTCCTCCACCCGCGGCCGGGCGCACCCACTTCCCCGCGGCGGGGAGAGGGCCCCCAGCGACGTGGCCCACGCCCATTGCCCCCTCACCTCCTGAGCGACGCCCACGTTCTCCCGCTTCTTTTTAGTCATGTTACTCGCGGGAATCCCCCAGTCAGCATTGGACACGCCCATCGGCAGCACCACGCATGCGCACACACTCGTGCTTCCCCCTCATTGGCCACTAGGGCGGCTGGAGGTGGGACTTACTGGCGACTGCCATCTTGTTGCGGGGCGCGGCCGGCGGGGTGCCGCCATGTTTGTGAGGGGCAACCTCTGGTTCGGCCTTAGCCTGAGGCCGGGGAGAGGCCAGATGGCCCTGGGGCCATTATGGCGGAGCTGCTCCGCTGCCTTGCTAATTCAAAGCCCCATTAGAGCGGCGGGAGGGAGATCTTTTCCACCTCTTCTTCATGCTCTCCATCCCTTTAGGGGCCCGCCCTGCACACTTGGAGGCCACCCTGCACCCCCCACCCTCCTATTTAAATCCTGTCCAACCTTCAAAGCGCATCCTGAAGCACCGCTGCTCCGGGAAGCCCTGCCTTGAGTTCCGTGGCCTTTTGGAATCTGAGAACGACCTTCTGTTGTTATTCCTCGTTGTTGTCTCGTGTTATTTTACCCACAAACCTCACGGAAGACCTGAGCAGCATCCTCTATCCTACCTCTAACACCAAGGTTCTGTGCATGCCTCCAGACTTCCTGCCAGACAGTGTTTTATGCTGTTATCACCCTCTTGCACAGGCACTTGGACCAGGCACTCTGAAATGTTTTGACCCATGGTACGAAATGCTCTTCTGTCCCATGGCCCAGCTACCCATGTAACTGCAACCAACATTTTCCCTATACACAAACATTTCTGCCACCTGCGATGTCCTCTCATATGTCCTATTCTGGCCTATTTTATGTATGTTTTTAAAAAGTTGGTGGCAGCTGAAACTGGTTTGGCTCAGTGGATAGAGCTTCGGTCTGTGGACTGAAAGATTCCAGGTTCGATTCCGGTCAAGGGCATGTACCTTGGTTGCGGGCACATCCCCAGTAGGAGGTGTGCAAGAGGCAGCTGATGGATGATTCTCTCTCATCAATGTTTCTAACTCTCTATCCCTCTTTCTTCCTCTCTGTAAAAAAATCAATAAAATATATTTAAAAAATAAAAATAAAAAGTTGGTGGCAGGAGACCTATTAAGTTTATTTTGTGACCCATTAATGGATATGGAGCTGCAATTTGTAAAACACTATCATAGACAATTTTCTATGCCCTCAAAATCACTATCTGTGATGGTGGCAACTGCCACCAAGTGAATATAGCCAACCTTGTGTTAGATATCACCTTCAAATAAAGCAAAGGAAACATCTTTGCATACATAGCTCTGTCTTTCTGAAAATTTTAAGATAAAAGTGTAGAAGTGGAATTATTGGGTCAACGAATATGAGTCCAGAATCGAAGCTCCTTATTTTTTGAGCAGTTATCTTTATTGGGGGGGGGGGGGGGGGGAGTGTGTGCCTGTGGTTTCGGTGTGTGATTGTGTCCAGATTTGTGTTCTCATCTTGATAGAGTTGTTGAATGATGGAGCTGGAGGGGACCAGAGATCTCATCTCGGCTGGCCGCCTGCCTGAGGCCCACAGAGGAAAATCGTAGCAAATTCTCTCTGAACAGTCAGCAGGCTGCTGAGCAGTTGTTTAGTGCAGATCTTAGCATAACACCCAGCACAGAAGAAACTTCCTCAAGATCGTTGTCTATCAATTGTCAATCAACGGCATTTATTGTCAGAACACTCTTCACAGCATCCAATCCCAGAAAAACCAGACTCTGGGCTTCTCAATTATCACAGGCACGGGCCCAGGGGAGGCGAGAAGAAGGAAAACACTGTGTTCTTTTAGAAGTGGTTCCTTCCGCCTGTGCTTGGCACCACAAGAAAGCCACGCGCCGTGGTGAGCTTCCTGTCAGTGCTTTGTCTTTCTCCCCCGTTCCCCGTGAAATAATGGCTGAGCTGTCATCCTTCTCCCTCAAGAGGCTCGGATTTTCCAAATCAAACTTGTTCCCTGGTTCTCATAACAGGACCAACACTTGAAATGGGACAGAAATGAGAACCCAAGTGGGTTGTGTGAAAGGGGAAGGGGTGGGTGGGTGAGGCTGACATGGATTTCTATCCCAGCTCTACCACTGAGCAGTGGTGGGTTGGGGTCCAGGTCTGTAGAACGAGCTGGTGGGCCAGGCTTGTAGGCTGTTGTGCGAATCACTAAATGGCCAGTGCTGTGGCTTGTGAGTGACCAGGACAGATTCAGCAGGACGGATGGGCCCGCTGCCAGTTTTTCATTATAGGGTTTCGCTTAGCAATTGCGGTCATTCTTATTTTGATTATTGTTTTGATGTTGGTTTCTATCAGCTTTGACACGACTGCACAGTATATGTTGCTAGGAATTAGGGACAAATATTTGGGTTGTTTTCTGCTCTCAAGGGCATTTAGTTCACTGCAAAAGGCCCCCCAACATGCAGGAGTGTCTCCCTCCAGAGGAGGCGCCCTTTCCACCTCTACTGGTCCTTCCTGCTGAGGCCATCAATCATGAGTTTCCTGTGCCTGGACATTGCTGACAGCGCTGGCTCCTGCGGAGCTGGGGGAGCTGAAAGAGCCCGGGGAACCTGCAGAGGCCTGTTCATCCCAGTACATGCGGTGACCGGCTTTGACTTCCACGGGGACTGTTTGCTGAGCCCGCTGCAGCTCGGCCTGGCTTTGTGCTGGAAATTCTGCCCACACACAGATGGATTGCTGTGGATCAGCTGTCTGTTTGTCTGTCTGTCTTTGTTCTTTAGTGAGCTGTGGTTCTGAGCTTTTCTATTTAGGAGTTTTAGGGTGAAGTGTTTATGGGAAATAGCACAAGCACTACATTGGCAGACAGAATTGGGTTTGATCGTGGGTGGGCCAGGTCCTCACTGTATGACCTTGGGCAGGTCAAGTCTCCTCTTTGGCTCCCCGTTTCCTTGTTTGTGAAATGGATGCATGGGGCAGACCTAGTCGGCTTAGACACCCTCAAATTCTGTTTTTGATGACTTTGTTATTTGTAAAGTGCCCAGACATAAAGCACCCTTGTTGGCTGTAAGGTAAACATATAAAATAAGAACAATCCTCACTTTCTAGATGTCTTTAATCTAGTTAGGGAGACAGACTGACAACGTGAAATAGTGAATACCAGACATCATGTAATTAAATGCCAGCTGTCTGTACTTACTGTGGATGAGTTAGGAGCTCAGGAAAAAGAGATGTTGTGGGGTTTTTTTTTGAGGCCTGAAGGATAATTGAGGTTGGATCAGGTGCAGATGGGCGAGAGAGCACCCCAGGTGGGAACCGAAAGGGTTTCCCAAGCCTACAGGAGTTGCCCTTTTCAACTAAAGCGCTGTGCAGGTCAGCCACAGCCCTGGCTTATCCGCCGTGAAGACCCTTGGGTCAGTTATTCCATCCCTTGTCCCATCCTAGGCCTGCCTTACCTGTGGGGTCCAGACCTGAGCCCCCACTGCCACCCGAGGGCACCTTTTCAGAGGAGTGCAGGAGAGTGGGATCATTCTGTCAGAAACATTTCGGGCAGGAAATGAAGAGTTTCATAGGTGGCTAACACACAGTGGAGGCTGATTTATGTCTGGGTTTTGTTCCAGGGCAGCAGATTGTAGTCCAAGTTCTGAGGCAAAGGCAGTGTCTTTATGGCCTGCTTGGATCAGTTTTATGTCTTGGTGGTTTTTATGTTTCAGCATAGCCAAGATGCTCAAACTTTTTGTCCGGGGAACTCATGTACCACTCCTTGAACTCCAACTCATTTCACCATAAAAAGAATAGAAAGCAGAAGAGATGGCATGGATGTTTTTGCTTGATATTTAATTGGTATCCAGTCTTTAGCTAAATTAAATCAAATCACAAATAGCTGATAAAACCACGTGAGACCCTGAAGGAACATGTGAGATGACATCATGAAAACAAAAGGACAGGATTCTAAATGTTGTTGAATAGGAATATTCATAATATCTCGATATCCATACTGTCTTCTTTGAGGAGAAGAGATTTTTATTAAACATTAGTTTCATTAAACATTGATTAAATTAGACAAGCTATGCTGGTACATTTTTATCTTATGGCTAAAAGTGCCTTTTATAACTGAGCACGCCTCCCACTTTTTTGTTCGTGAGGAAGCTCAGATCTGAACTTTTGGAATTTGGGGCATGGGTTCCCATGTGCTAGCATTTTCCCTGGCTTAATTTTGTTTTTCTACCCTTGTTTCCCCTTTGCTATATCACTTTATTTTTATCCCACTGTTTTGTGTGCATCTTGGTGAACTACCTCAAATCCTTTTTTGGAACACACAGGAGCATAATAAATCAATAAGTACATCCTGTGTTTAGTAAATATGGCACTTTGTTCTTTCCAGAGCAATTTTCGTATCCATTAGCACTGTGGATCCTCACACTGCTCAGCAAGGGGAGTCAGGCAGACTCAATCACCCCCATTTTACAGACTAGGAAGCTGAGGAACCCCCAGGCATGAAGTGGCTTACAGAAGACCCAACCCTTCATCTATGTGGAAGACTACCTCTGAAAAAGGAGACAGGAATATAAAACTAACAGCCCATTAGATGTCTCATTAGTAGCTGTAGACTGACAAGGAGGAAGCCAAGGTTAAAGAGGACACAAATTGGGGTGACCACTGGCTTCAGAGATTCCTCCAGAATCCATATCTGTGTGCCATCTCTGACTGCCATTGTCTTTTCTAACCACTCTCATTGGTCACATGGGTGGGTGGCATGTGATCCAAGCTGGGCAGCCAATCACAGAACCACACTTGGATTGTTTCAGATGCCAGGGCTTGAGCTGGGCCAATAGGAGTTCTTCACTGAGATTTTTCATCTCTCACTGGGAAACGAACTCGCCTGAGCTCTGGTCGCAGAGCAGTGGGATGTGATCCTGGAGCAGCCGACAGACAGCCGTGCTCCCTTCCCTGAGGAGGAGCTCCCGTGGGAAGTGAGAGAGGCAGGCAGCGCACCTGGGCAGCAGCTGAGAGATGAGAGGGGGTGCCCTACTAACGTTTGGAGCTCAGGTTTCAGGTGCCTAACTCCTGCCCCTCCCAGGAGGAATGCCAATAAATCCCCTGTTTTGAGTA